CGTAGCCACATCGTAGTGATGTCGTATTAACATTGAATTAATATTACAATTTTATTTGATATCGTAACTACATCATAATAATATCATATTAATATCGAATTAATATTACAAAAAATGTTTTACATTTATTTAATATCGTAACTACATCGTAATGATATTATATCAACACTGAATTAACATCACAAAAATATTTTTATTGTAATATATGTTTATTATTTATTATACATTAATTATAATAATTTTTTATTAGTGGATTATTATGGGTGAGTGGAATACGTTTCTTTTCTTCCTTTTTTTTTTATTCTTTTCTTCTCTTTTTTATTCTTTTCTTCTCTTTTTTATTCTTTTCTTTTCGTATGTGAGTGGATGGATACGTCATTTTCAATTTTAAAAAATATATATATATATATAAAAAACAATCATGATTAATAAAATATATTCTTTGTAAAATATATTTAAAATTTAATCCATAACCTTGGGATAATAGTTAGAGCAGGTAATTCTGGAATTTTGTAAAGAATAATAAAAATGATAATATTTTTAAGTTAGTTCTTTCTTTAAATTTTTTGAGAGTGTTTTGTTTCTTAAAATCATAATATTGTAAAAAAATGCTGGTTGCTACGACTGACGGACAACGACAAATTGTCAGGCTACCCCCTGATAAAGTAATTGGAAGGCTGAAAATGCCATAAATATCCAGCCCTATTTTACAACATTTTCTTCCAGGCTAAAGCAAATATTACAAAAGAAATTGCAAATATATTTAACAAGCAATAGATACATGGCCGTTGAAAAATATATTCACACTTCATATTGTAATACCACAGTCTAACAAAGAAAGACAAGAAATTGCAAATATATTTAACAAGCAATAGATACATGGCCGTTGAAAAATATATTCACATTTATACCACAGTCTAACAAAAAAATACTCAAACCACAACATATTGTAAAAAAAATATGAAAAATACGCGTATATCCTATTTTCATACCTTGCTTAACAGCTCCACTATTTATTTAAAAAACGGCTTTTTTCTTTTTTGTATGTACTTAAGTGGGTACATTTTTCCTTTCTTTTATTCTTTTCTTTCGTATGTGAGTGGTGGGTACATTTTCTTTTCTTTATTCTTTTTTTATTCTTGCTTTTCGTATGTGGGTGTTTTACTATGTTGAATATATAAACTAAAGTGTCCCAAAGTATTGTTAATATTGTAAAAAGATAATTAAAGTATACTTTAAAAAGAGAAAAGAAGAGA